CGATCACTATAACAGTAGCATTTAATTAATCAAGAAGAAATAACTTCATCTCATTTGTCCTTTCCGTTATTTCTGCTAGCACAATTGTAAATGTTTGCTATTATTTTAGCAACCAAAACTTGTGCACTGTATGTCAAAGGTGATTGATAGCCAAAAGTTATTTTATTGAAAAAGAATTCCATATTTCAGTAGTTCAGAGAGAAGAAAAGTATAATTAGAAACATAGGCATATATTGAGAGAAATAAGGATCACTATGAGTTATATTTTGATGTATTTTATTTTGAAAGCCCATGGTACTTCCTAGTCTATGAATCTACATGGATCTTCACTGATTTGCAGGGTATCGCGTTATCCACACAAGAGGATTAACTACAAAAACCTAAAGCCTATCCATTGCCTCCAGAGATCGCTATCACACTTGAAGTATTTTACTTTAATTCCAACAGCAAATAAAGGTTCTATATTAAGTGGTAATGCTCTTGAGAATGGAGTGAATTGCTTTTGTTCCAAACTCTTCTGATTGTCAATCTAAAATCTCAAGCTTGACTGCTTCAAAGTCTTAATATTCTACCAGATTTTTTATAGACTTCTGAAACTTTGCAAAAACATAAAACATTTAAATCCTAATATGGTTGAAATACCTAATCTGAAAGTAGTTATTTTAAAATCTTATGCAGTCTGCTGGACTTCTTGCACTTTTAAATACATATTTTAATGTCCAATTGAAGATATGCGATAGCCTTCCAAAATTTAAGGACTGTTTTCTCCAGAGTTCTTTAGTGTGTGCTGTAGTGCAAATACGTTTGGTTTTACTAATTTAAACCAAAGGGTCATGAATTCAAGAGCAAATGAGTCATGTGTTTTAAAAAAAATGCTGAAATTAAATTAGAGCCATCCTTAAAACTAAATAATGGTTATCTGTCAATGTATAAAGAAAATGCTGACTTCCTGTAGGTGGTTTTAAATTTATGCCTAAACTGAAAAATTTAGAAAATCAGCCGAGCAAGGCTGGATGAGAGACCCAGCACACATCAGAAGTCTGAATGTGCCCCTTTTCACCTTGCTTTCCAAAGGCAGAAAAGCTGTGCTTGATCTTTGAAACAGTTACGAAACCTTCTGCCCAGGTTTACAATACAACTAGCACAGAACCAGCAGGACAAGCTGCCACACACTGGAGCTGTACGATGACTAAAATAACCAAATTTGAGGTATATAGGTATTTAAATTCCTCATCAATTTCCATCTTTCCTTAAATTTGCCTAATGTAAGGTATAAAAGTCCTCAGAAGACTTGGGTGCTGTATCTGATCTGCATTGTTCACATCCTCTTTCTCAACGTCCTGACAGGTACATGATAATAGTAATTATGGTAGTTAGATTCTATAGTTCAAAATGTTGCAGACACAATCTAGTATCAATTCACATAATCTACAGAGCATCTGTCTTATTTTTTTTGTTTAAAGCTAACTCCACTAATCCCATAAGCTTTAGTCTTCTCCTACTGAGTTTGTGCAGTTTTCCAAGTTCATGTTCCCCATATTTCTCCTTTTAAATTAATACAGTTTCAATGTGTGTTGACCTTATCTCATGCTGTCCAAACTCCAGCATAAACGGTCATATTTGTAATTGTGCTCTTCTCTTTCAGCCCCAGTAACCTTCATATCCTTTCTGCTTTGGTCTAAGAAACCTGAGCTTGAATTTCTACACAAGATAGGGATATGGTCTTCTGCCTAGCACTATTTCAACATATATTCTAAACTCTAGGTTTCCAAGCAAAATAAAATGTGCCTAAGAATCACCTATTTTTAAAAGAAATCCATGATCTCTCTCTTAATCTTATTTCTCCAACTTACCCCCACTTCAGGTTTCTGAAAGAAGGTAGATGGGCATCGACCTTTCAAAAGTGCTCATGTGCCACAAGGTGGGCATTATTGGGTATTGGCTACTTCCTACAGTCATTTGTAGGAGCTAGATTTAAGACATATCTCTGCACATAGCATTTTCCGTTAACTGTTAGAACGTAATTTACTTCTGGGACATTGTTCTCAGACTAAAGAAGAAAACACTGCACTAGCTACTAAGAAGGCAAAAAACAAGTTACAGCTGAATCCAAGACAGACTGTCAGCACTGTTGACTCAACAGTCTTGAGATATCTGTGAAGAAGTATAATTTGGAGACGCTAGGAGAGATGTCATGGCTCACAGGCTCATATCAGCTTATCCATATTGTATTACTTTTAAAATCTTGTTTGATGGTAGGTAGAATCCTATATGAGTTAGTAAAGGTCACCCCCAAGTAAAATAAATGAAAATAAAAGATGTTACTAACAGTACTTCTTCCTCAAATTCATTTCATAACCAGAATGTTACAATGCAACACATTGAATTTAAGACTAAACTCAGTGCAGATGACGATTACCTTCAAGTGGTGAGATATGACAGCTGTAACCCAGACATAAGTTTTGAAAAGTAAAGTAAATCCTGTAGTGAATGTACAAAATCCTTCTTTAATTACTTTCATAAAAGCATGAAAAATCAAATTAATTAAAATAAAAGCAACAAATTAACTGTTGGCAAAAAGTGAGACACGAGAAGGCCCTAAATATGCAAAATGGGAACAAAATATAGTGGACGCAATTTCACGTTATTTGTTATCTATTTGTTGCCATTATGCAGTAATGCAAATAGAATAAATTAAAAGCAAAGGATGAGCACATAAGGCTTAACAAGATTACGAGAAGAGAATAAGGGATAAGTGTGAGCATGCCAAAAATATAAAATATTCACATTTCTGCAATATCAGAGCGCACAAGACAGTTCTTTGCTTAATGGAATTTTCGTTCTCTGCAATTACTTTAATGTCTGGGTCCACAGGGAAAATACTTCTGAAATACTTCTGGTTTTACATTTCTTTGTTTTTCTTTACAGTTTATTGTTGCTTGACTCTATTTTCATTAGTCAGTACTCTGCTTTCTACTTTGCATGTTGGCTGGGGCTTTCTTTTATGCAGTGGTATGAGCAAAGGCAAATCTAATTCTTGAAGTGTTTTCTCTACATGTAAATCAAAGAATTTCATTAGATTAAGAGATGAAGTGATTTTGACATTCTTAATTCTCTTTCATAATAATTCTCTTTATTAATTACAAATACTTTTGAAGTGTTGACTGTAGCATCATTTATTATTTCCTATTAAATCTTCTTGTACTTTGATACACTATGAAGTAACCACTGCATTTTAGATATTGAATGAATGATCTTGCCATCATTTGCACCCCAGGTCAAGTACAAGTACAACTGACAAATTCTCACTGCATTTGTAAGCAGACCTATATTGGTATTTAAATTTATGAAGAGATCTTCTGTAGCCTCCTCTCATATGGTAGGTTGTGCCCTGCAAAAGTCAGCTCTTGTTTGTCTTGCCCACAAAGGAGGCTTTTGCTAGAATGCCATCTGTTAATGATATTCCAAATTCATCTGTACTTAAAGAAGGAAAAATAATGAGAAGGCTGAGTGGAGACCTCATAGCAGCCTTCCAGTATCTCAAGGATGCTGGAGAGGGACTCTTCCTCAGGGACTGTAAGAATAGGACAAGGGGTAATGGGTTTAAACTTAAACAGGGGAAGTTCAGGTTAGATACAAGGAAATAGTTCTTTACTGTGAGGGTGGTGAGGCACTGGAATGGGGTGTCCAAAGAAGTGGTAAATGCTCCATCCCTGCCAGTATTCAAAGCTAGGCTGGACAGAGCCTTGGGTGGCATGGTCTAGTGAGGCGTCCCTGCCCATGGCAGGAGGGTTATAACTAGATGATCTTAAAACTTCTTTCCAACCCTAACTATTCTATGATTCTATTATTTAATCTGGATGTGAACAAGGCTCATTGCTGATAACTCTGCTGCACAAGTAGGCTAAATTTCAATCATTTCAGAGAAGCAACCTCTTCTCCAGAAGCAGAACACCAGGATTCGACTTTTGCTGGTTTCTGAATGTAGGGTTTTTGCACTACAGGTAGCTGGAAAGTTTCCATATGATTTTATGTGTATACCAAAGCTATGCAACATACTGACTATGAGTGTCTTAGGAATTTGCTCTGAGAATGATTGTAGACAGATTTCAGTTTCTTCAAAATAGAAATTTTCCTGCTTTTTGACATTTATTTGTGGGTTGCTGGGTATTTTTTGTAATTTTGTATGCACTGCTAGCATCTTCACATTAAATTCTAAAAGAAGATTTTTTGTGTATGGAAAGTCAAATTAATTCAGTACCAAATGGCATCTCCCTGGGGCATAATTGATGGAAGATACTTTGCATCAGAAGTGACTATATCTTCTCCAAGCAATGTGATGGAAGTAGAAAGCCATTGCTACACTGTAAGAAAGCTAGCAGAAAGAGCAAAATTATAAGCAATCTGAAAAAAAAATGAAGGTCAAAGGTAAATGAATATAAATTTCCACTCCTAATTGGAAACATGGTACTAAAAGAACAGAGATCTTAAAATCAAACTTAAGCAAGAAAAGTTGTTTTGATTCAATTACTGAAGTGGACAAAAATATCATGGCTCTTAACTCTCCTCACAGCCTCCATTGGACCTCCATCATCATTTTTCTGTGACTCATTTTTTTTGCTTAATAATATTCAAACTCTAATTACATCTCCTTTCCTATTCTCTACACCACCAGGTCTAATGATTTGCACTCTAGATCCACAACAAAATTCTTTTTCATTACTTAGTTTATTCTCTCTTACAAAACAGCAATCTGAAGTAACGGAGTACAAAGAGTAGACAGCAGTGGTATTCACAAAGTTAACGATGATCATTAATTTTGTTGTTCTGTGGTGATGTAAGAAAATAACATAAACATCTTCAAGATGCAACATGATCAGCAAATAATTAGATGAAAGTGCTCGATACATTAAAATTAAAAAATAATATTAGAAGGAAACTTCATAAGGATAATCTCAGTGAGAAGAAACTATTTTTCTCAGCTTTCTTTTTGGTTTTACAATATTGTATAATCAAATCATAAAACCCATATGACCATGCTTGCATGCTTTAGATTTTTGGGTTTGCTACCAACTAAACCTGGAAGATACACTATAGGTAAATTATTTGAGCAGACCAGCAGTGGTTGTTGCATAAATGGAAATTATTATTTCATGAAGCTAAACAATAATAATGGCTATCCTTACATAAACTGATCATTTTCGTATGCACATTTCGGATGAAGGTCACCTTAGTGTTAAGCTCCATGATTTTATGCTCTGTAAAACACTATCTGTAGAATCATTTAATAAATCAAGTGAAATGCTATCTATAAATATGGCTGATAATTCTCAGAAGATTAAATCAAAAATGTTCTGAAAATAGTGTGATTTATTTTTTCTATCTTCTGACTGAAATTATGGCCCACAAATCATCTGAAATTTAAATGAAGGTGTATATTTCTAATAAATGGTCAATTAGTGTTCAGCTAGTTAAATTTCAATTTTCAACAATAGATCTTAAAATCAGAATTACCTGAAAAATTTGCAGTTTACTATATTTCTATTTTATGTTTATCTGTTAAAAACTGCTTGCTAGAAACAAATTTTGCACATGCACATAGCTCTATCACCAAGCAAACCAGTGCAGGCAAGATAATTCTTTAAATTTGGCATTGAAATAGTATAACAGCAGTTGCAACAAATATTTTTTTATTAAATAGGAATTTTAATTTTGTCTCTGAATATTATTCAGAATCTCCTGCAAGTCTTAAATATGATGACTTTTTAGAGGCATTAAAATAAATGACATTTTATAATGACTGATAACATAATCGATTAAACAATACTTAGTATTATTGCACAGAAAGCTGATGGCTCTCAACATCATTACTATGATTGGAGGAAAGGCTTTTGTGACACATTATTTGAGATTGTGACAGAATTAATGGGAGGTTCAGAAATTCCCTAAGAGAACTCTTCTGACACCTTTGAGGATTGCCCTATCTGGCCTCCCAATATAGTTTATGGCTATACAGGATTTCTACTCAGTTTTGAAAGCAACATCTATGTTATTATGTAAATCAAAAATTATATAAAGTTGTACATTAATGTGAGATAACATCCTTTATTTTCCTGTAGTGGCACAGTGCAGACCATTTAATCCCATCTCTCTGAGCACTATTCCATGTCTTATCCTCATTCCTTTCCTGCCTGAAGAAAAAAAAGATAATCCTAAATAGTCTCCTAAGAATTACATCCTCTACACTCAGAAAACAGACTCAGTACTTTCTGCTTACAACAGCATCTTTAGCTGTCAACATTTTCTTTGGTTTTATGGTCAAGCTAGAAAAATAAGAGAATTTTAAGAACTGATCTGTTTCACTTCTGAAAATAGAAGTAGATATGAGTATTAAAAGCACTGATGTCATGTGTATGATTTACATATATTTGGGTCTATAATCTAACCATAAGAGCAAACATACATGAATGATATGCTGTTACAATATTATGCGCAGCAGCAACAAAAATTAACTTCTCTGAGTTCACTGCTGTATAAAAAGATAGTGAACAGGAAAAATGCCATGTCAAGTTTGGTAAAAAGGATTCATCAATAATTTACCAGATACAGCAATCTTCTTTTTTTTCTGAACTATTGAACTTCTGGAATTCAACCCATACTTAGAAAATAAACCACCATGCAGATACAATTGAGATGTGTTGTTTCCTTTGGATAACATGTAGAGAGACTACTTCAAGGTTTGCTATTCTGAAGACATAGAAGAAACCACACTGAAACAAGAGGCTTCCAAAGCTATGTAACAAATCTATTGTGTCAGAAGCAAAAAAACAACCCTTCCTTTGTGAGCAAGGGTACAAGGAACTGAGACACCTCATGTTTCCCATTATCCTGTTTTCACCCTGCAGAAACTGCTATTGTGTTAGGAGAGCCTGAGACAGCAAGGTGGAAAAATACAGGAAAGGGGCAAGGACCATTTCTCTTTCCTTTTATTGTCTTCCCCTGAAGGAAGCTGGTGGCACAAAGACTGTTCTCATCATCCATTGCAGAAAAATGTTTCAAGAAACATTTTAATGGTTTTGATTCCTTTCAGTTGGAATGTAGGGATAGATACAACCATTGATCTGAGAAACAAAAGCCCATTTTGGTCTCAAGGTAAATTCAATTTAGGTAGAATTTGGGCTCAGTAATTACTTAAGTTAAATCTGCAATGAAAATTCCACCACTGCCTTTCAGTATCTGAAAGAATATGAGTACCAACTGTACCAATACAGTCCTCTATCTCAAATAGTTAGGTTGTGGCATGCAGCAAGCATCTCTAACTTCATTTTATGTCATTTTAATAGCATGTTCCAGCAAACAAAACAAAAGACCATAGGAATTTGTTGTGTGTACAGCTGCAACATTCACCTAAGACCAAAATACCCAAAGTTTGACAGGATAGTGAAAATGTGAGGGTTTTGTTGTTTGTTTTTTTTCTTTTTAAGCTAAGATTTTAGTTTAGAAAAGAGAAAAATGCTTAAGAGAAAAAAAAAAGGCCTAAAATAAGTGCGGGCTAATTTCATTGCTTACTCATCTTGTACACCTGAATGAAAGGAAACTAAATTGTAAATACTTATAAATTATACTTATCAAATACTTATCACACTGTCTATTTAGAACGGGGTGTTTAAAGGACACAGAGAATCAGTTACCTTTTTTGTCTAAAACCTGTTTTTTGGTTTGTATTTTTTTTGAAGTTACAATTAATTACTATTGAATTGCCTAAGTTTTAGACAAAATCTTTAAAGAGCCTTAGGAAACCATTAAAACTTAAGAATTTGATTTTTTTTATCATGTTCATAATAAAATTAGCTTGGTCAAAAAATATTTAAACTGGTTAATGTGAAGATCTGAATCCTTTTTTTTTCTTAATGCATGGAAGCAGTTCCTCTAAAGACTATTCTCCTAATAGTCAAATTTTATGTTCCCATTAAATTCTCATCTTTTATCCACCTCAAAATGTAAGTATACACCTTTGGACTGTAGAAAGGCTGGGCGTTTATCTGGGAGGGTTTTGAGTGTGTACAGATGGCTAGTATAGATTACTAAAATGGGACTGTGCAATAACAATGCCAGCTGTGTAACAACCAGTCTATCTCTAAAAGAGATTGCAAATTCAAAAAGGGAATCCTTTCATAAAAGAGCTGAGAGCTGCTTCAAATGAACTGAGACTCTACATTAGGAGCAAACAGAATTCTGGATTTACACAAAGGGCAGAATGTTTCTAGCATATTTGCCATTAAAATTGTGGTTTAGTGAGTTGTTTAGGTAAACAAAAGAGCTGAAATACTGTCTTTTACATTACAGCAATTATGCCATTAACCACTCATTTTTTATTTATTCTAATTTTTCTAATCTGACCATAAAAATATTAATTCCAGAGAGACTAGATCAGCGGAGAGAGTTACTCTAACTCCATAGTGAAGCACTGTAGTACTATATTTACCGCATTTATACTTAACTAAATATCTGAATGTAGTGGCTTGACCCTGGATGGATGCCAGGTTCCCATCAATGGAAATCATTTCATCAGAGTATGTCTCTTGAGACCCAGATTTCTACGAACTCCTACAGAACATTTTGTCTAAATCATGTACTGCAACTTACTAGCTACAGAATTCAGCACTTTGTGTTTTCCCATAAATGCAAAGACCCTACTCCAAGAACTATGAAACATTTATCTATGTAAATCCACTGAGTTTTGTACACAAATGCTTTTTTCTGCATACATGCAGATATTCCTGTAAACATCAATTCAACAACTATTTGCCAAAACAAAGAAAATAGTGTACACTATTAGCAGTTGGATGGACCAATATTTAAAACTGAACAGTTATGAGGAGTTTCAAAGTATTATATCCAACACCCTGAATAGCTTTGCACCTAAATTTCTTCATCCAGTTTGCACTAACATGATTTTTTGACTATTTTGCGCATAAGTTGATCATTTTAACGCAAGGTACAACTAGTCCAGCTGGTTTTGAATAAGAGAGTAAAAGGAGTAGCGCCTATTTTCTAAGATACAGTTTTAATAAGTGTTAACTTATATCTGAAAGGAAAAAAATATTATAGATAGAACCATAGAGCTAAAAAAAAATCAGCATTATCAACAAAACTGACTGGGTTAAGGCCAGTATGATTCTGCCCTTTCAGAATACAAAATTCATAAATATGCATATAAAGCTAAAGGTGGAAGACATAAACAAGTTAAAAACCTCTTCAACAGATCATACATAAAATATATGGCTTGAGGGTATAGAAAATAGTCTTCTGGCTGGCTAAGCATGGGAATTGCTGCGACTACCATCGTGTCCTTTTACTAACAGAAACAGACTAAGCCTATAACCTTAAAAAAGTTCCTCCAGCAATGTCTGCTGGACTTCAGGCAGTACCAGAGACTGCTGAAGTATCCTTTACAAGGTTAAATTACTGTCCTATTAATAATATGTTGTGTTTTCCTGATTTATGTCCTGGTTTATGCCTGAAATACCACTATTAAGGCATAAAATCATAGGTATTTGTAAAGATATAATATTTTAATGCTAGTCTTTCCAAAAGTTTATGTACTTTCTCAATGAAGGAGATCATTATTTAGTGCTTCTATTGAGGTACACCAAAGCTTCTGAGCTGAGCTTTTTTTTTTGTCAGATTTAATAGCTGTTTTATAGACAATTGTATCATAAATTGTTTTAACTATTCTGTTGGTCTTTTTCTTTGTTAAGAATTATTATTGTGCCTCTGCCTTAGGAGCTTTACTTGCTAATTCTCCAGTTTTCTTACATCAGTTTAAGGGTTCCACTTCCTTGAAGGCTCCTAAGTTTTTATGTGGCAACATTTTTCATACTCTAACCTTCATCTGTGAGGTAGCCTCTTTCTTAGTTTGAGGTGGACTTTTTAACTTGGGCATTAACATGACACACACTGAAGACCACTTAAAGAATACCTAGTACACTAAGTAATTTCCTTCTAGTCACACCACAGAGGGAGTTATCAGAACTGAAATTATAAATAATTTTTTTGAAGTTACATTAGATTCATATCAGTAGAGTACAGTTTTTTCTTTTCATGCAGGCCCAAAACAGTGTTTGATCAACTCTCTGATAGTCTTAAAAGGTGTTTCATTCATTGGACATGATGATAAAAAAAACTCAAAAAAGTCATTTGGAAACGGCCATAAAGTACATTCTTTGGCTAGGACAACTAGACAGATGATATCAAGGTTAGATAGATAGGTAGTAGTCAGCTAGATAAGTAAAAGCTAGCCAATGCACATTAATGGAAAAAGTTGTTTGCAACACTTTTTTGCAGGCTAAGAGGTTGACAAAAACTGGGTGTTCGATTTGACAATCCACCCAAAACCAGAGCCCCAAAAGCAGCACTCTGCTGTCTGCTAGCTTCATTCCTCTCCTTCCCAAGTGCTTAGGCAGAAAGAGACAGAAAGTGAATAACTTCTTGTAGACCTTGAAGAAAACACCCATTCTGACCAGACTGCTTTCAGGAATAAGCAAGGTGAGACAGAGCATTTCACAGGACACAGAATTATGACTGAATTTTCCTAACAGCAAGAGTAGCCTCTGGCCACCTCTAAATTCATGACACCAGTGAAGGTTCTCAAATCATACAAGAGATCAGACTCCTCATGTATTTGGGACTAATTACCATCATATTATAAAAAGATATATTCTGTAGCAGATAGATCGGAAAGGTCAGGGCTAAACTATTGATTTTTTGGGCTGTTCATAGCTTTAGCTTTTTATTGCACTTTTTTCAAAAGAAGTTCATTACAACTTTCTTATCTGCTCTTAACATTCACAAAGTAAAATTTTTTGCTACAAGAAAAAAGAAACAATCTAGAAAATATGCACATCAGATATTGTGTTTTTACACTTACAGGTGCAATGGAAATAATAAAATGGAATGTATTTATTAAAATAATAAGTTGGTTTGGGGAGGGAATTTGTCTATTTGATTGTTGGGCTTTTTTCTTCCCAGAAAATGCATGTACTAACATGTTTATGTTTGGTTAGCCCACCTTGCAGAACTGTTTTCTTGCATCTAGCATATGACATTTAATGGTTTGGCAGAGAACAATATTTTTAGTATATTTAGAACTGTCTAAACATCCACCACCTCTAACTAGGATTTCTGAGTGACATTGGCTACATTGGCTATCTCCTGCAGTTTCATGTGTCTATATATGTACACATATATATATACATATTTTAAATAGGGTATAAAATCCACTTATCTTTTATTCACTAAAGCCAATTAAAGGCTCTAAGATTAGAACCAGACTCCTTCATTTTGCATAATAATTTAAAGGGAGATGTCTCTGACAGTTTTTAACCTTTTTTTAATGTACATCTCAAACTCAGTGGAAAAAAAATTAAACAAAAAAACAACAAACAAGCCCAAAATAACAAAACTTTCTGGTTTGATACTTTCATTCTTATTATAAAGCATATGATGCAAAGAAGAATGTGTGGTCAGAGACAGAGACTACTTGTAACAATCCAAGTAAAGAGGCGTTTTTTTACAGCTTTCTCAACAATATTCTGCTGCAAAGTAATAGGTACCGTTTTCATTTATACATAGTCAAAAACATTGGTCTCATCTCCCTGGTGAATTCCTAATGACACTTTAGTTTGTTGTGCTTACTTTAATTGTTTTGTACTAGTTTATAATCAGGTGTTTTAAAAGATCATAAATATGACCAATATCTTATGTATCAAGGTGTAGAATTCACCTTTAATACTCTCAGCCAAGCATAATGTAGATCCAAAACATCATCAGGAGAAAAAAACAGAAATGGGTTCCAGGAAAAGAGCCAAAACCTATTTTTCTCACATATATGTTTTTCTCAGTCCTGTAAACATTTTCTGAGCTGGAAAAGACTGCAACATATTTTGATGAATTTAGAGCTCTGTCAACCCTCTCAAAGTGCTGTTATTCCCAGTTTAGCAAAATGACTGTAAAAGCTCTCAAAAATAGCACTAACAGCAATGAAAAAAAATTCACAGTATCACAGTATGCTAGAGATTGGAAGGGACCTCAAAAGATCATCTAGTCCAATCCCCCTGCCGGAGCAGGAACACCTAGAATTCTTCTGATTGTTTTCTTATTCTGTTATCCAAGGTAACAAATTTGCATAACAGCATTAATAGGAAAGAAAGAATATATGCTATTGTCTGTGACAAGTTTGGCAATGCCTGAATGCAACTAGGCAATACTAAAAGCAGGGACCAAAACATAATATCTTGCAATAAAGACCAGCTATGTTATTGTCTTTTGAACTAAAACTTGCTTCAGCTGAACCAATAGTTTTGTCATGACTTCCATTTCTACCTATAACAAGCAAGGCTGAATCATAAATGGAATGCTTCAGTGATATTTTCACATGTATCCACACATGTATCATGTTATCCACAGTAGGACTAAATAGCATCATAGGTGATTATTGTGCAAAGGAGTAAAATCAGAAATGTTCACCCTTACAGAGGCATTTCTTTTTTCAACTGCCTTGGACAACAGGTAACTGACTACAAAGGCAAGTGAGTGATGAAGCAAATTATTTTCTAGCTTTTATGGTATACATCTGTGCTAACACTTCTGCCAGTGCGGCATTAGTATTCATGGTCTGTCATCTGATCTGTACTGGGTGGACCAGGAAGGCAGAAGGCATCTATTTGCAGCACAGCTGACAAGTGAGGCTGGGATGGATCCTTCAAGAATATTTTTCAAAATTATACCCTTAAGAGGCATATATACCTCAATTTTTACCCTTGCACCTTGACTTTTCTCTGTCCTTTCCTCCTTTGAGGTGTTTTACTACAGAATGATTTTGTACCCTCACAGAAATAATGCTATGTTTTCCCAAGGTCTAGCAGTCTATGGAAAAGCAAGTCGTTCAGCCCAGGAATAATGAAGGGAATGCACAGGATTACAGTGCTGCACTCCAGGGTTGCCTTGTTTAGCAGTGTGCACCAGCAGTAGCACAGTATTGAGTTCAGATTAATCTGTCTTACCTCTCAGCAAGAAAAATTAGCCAGGACAGAGCATCATGCTGTCACAAATCCAATGCTTTAAACTAAACTACCAGCAGCACTGCTCAAGGCAGTGTACTCTGCCTATCTAGAAAGTACAAGCAATCTCCTTCATCAGTACTATCATCTGCAAATGTGCTACCTCCAGCACTAATGGCAGGGCACTGCATGTGAGAATTCATGCCCTTCTTTCTCTTCAGCCACGTCTCCAGCCAACAGCACCTGAGCTGAATCTCCCATGAGATTCCTTAGCCTGTTAAGGAAGCAGAATTATACGTATATGACACATTTTAGGGTTTGGCTTCTCTTAGGCAATATGAGAAGGTGCAGAAGGCATATATACTAGCCACCTTTTCTGAAGGATAGCTGTTACTATAAACGACGATATAATAGTCTCATACTGTTATCATTACCCCCGTAGAGCTGTAAAAGTCAATTAGAAAGGTCTGGTTACATAAGTTATGTTTTCAGTTTCCATCCCTACAGAACTCAACCAGTCAGGATGGCAGGCAGAATGAATCTTTTTTTCCTGGCAAACACAATGCCCTTACTAAATATACAACCTGTGCTTACTAGATAGGAAAGTTAGATTTCAGTAAGACCACACTGCAAACTGAAAGCCAGCAGAGAACGATCATTTGCCTTTTTAAATCACTCAGAATTCATGCTGGACAAGTGGAGTCAGACATTCAGCTTGTAAGACTTTCAGATTTACAAAATCATATTTTTCTGGTTTATGATGGATATAAATGTAAATTGTCATCAGAATCAGAAAACTGAAGAGATTTGCAAGAAATTCAAAGTAGAATTTCCTTTCCCACTCAGCACTCCACAACAAACAACACTCATGTTGTAGGTGACGTAGAAGCACAGAAGATTCTTTTAAGAAGACTGTAATACTACTGATTTACAGTGCTTTAAAACTAACAGTCCGATCTGCATACAAAAAAAAGTCTTGAATATATTTTTAAAAGCAAAAATAATGAAACTGTAAAGGTACAAGTTTTATATTTAATTATAAATAATAGAAAAAATATAACTCTCAAACTGTAGTTAAATGAAATATTTATAGCTAGTAGACCCGGTAACAAAATTTTCAGTTTAATATACAGTTTTACTATAACAAGTACACAAATCCATATAGCAATGAAATCTAAATCTATGTACTTATATGCATCTATATGACAAGGGTTCAGTAAGAGTCCAGGTACAGAAAAGTTGCAAATATTTTTTCTACCCGTAGTACTTTATTCTAGAATATCAGCTGCTAAACATTTATTTCAGAATTGAGGCAAATCACACAAAAAACTTATGCCATACATCAAAGTTTCCTGCCAAGTTCTTAGGTTTTCCATTTCTAAGGTTATAAATAACTGCAAATGTAATAACTTCTACCATCTTCCTTGATTTACTTCCTTTCTCCAGTAGGGACTGCCAGTTGTTGGACACTACTTCTAGCCATTAGGTGACAAAAAAACCCATATGGTAGATTTATCTCTTTCAGTATTTCTCCCATATTATACTTTTTCCACAAAATGCAACTTTTAGCTAACGACATTTTCTTCATTGTAATGAAAGTGGCAGGTGTAGCTGTTACCTCTGGTGTCTGAGAGGTATCATACGGCTTTAAAGAGTTTGTGTGAAAATAGGACCTAGGTCAAAATATTGCTTGCAACTATATCACTGTAGTAATCTCCCCAGATCTTCTGAGGTGAAACAGAGAAAAATCCTCGTCCCTGTCTTTGTGCATCTTCTATGACACTGGCCTCAAATCAGTCACCTAAAATCTCTCATTTGTCTGAAGATAACTAATTTATTGTTGTCTTAAGACAATGGTCTTAAGACAACAGAAAACAGCGACATCACAGATTTCACTGTATTTGATTAAGTGAAGCTCTGCAAAATAAACACTGTATCTCTTTTTTTTTTTCTTCAGGTCTGCTTCCACTGCACATGGTAAATTACTTGAGTCAACACTACCCAAAGAAGAAATAAGACACATAACCAGTATAAAAGGAAAAAGATACTCTTACTCACCTTGCCACAGGAAAGATCTTGAATTAATATGCTAATGCTTTTTATTTGAGTAAAAGAACTTGAATTTAGACATACTAATTTCTCCTGAATAAACTAGTAAAAAACTTACACCCAGAATGTTTCTCTGGCAAAACATCCTTTCAGGTATGTGATTCTGACACAGTCTAAAAAGTCCTAGACTCTTCTAATCAATGTAACCAGCAACAGAACTATATCCCTGTATATAACCTTGGAAATGCACTTTTCTGAAGTTGTGTCTTAGATAAGCAAAGATCTAGAACGTAATTAATTGAGAGCTAATCTTAAAAAGTATCTGTATTCTTGCAGCACTTTAGGAAACACTTGTTAGGATTTAATCTTGCCTTTGCATCTCAAGTTTACTATATCTCAGAGTAAGCAAAGGCAGTATTATTTCCCAAAAGGAAAAAGATTCCAAAAATGCAAACAATGACAGGACTTCATTCTGTTTAATTCTATGAGCAGTCACTCAAGGTGAAATAAATAAAAAAAAATCCTTATGTTTCAACACCTCACAAAAGACCAAGGAATTATCTCAAAGATGACCAGAAGTATCTTACCAAGGACAAAAATTTCTTAATGCAATTCTGTAAGTCCTCACCTTCCATTCTTGAGTAACATTGATTTTCCTTTCAATGTTTTCCATTTTCTAGGCACTGCAACAGAAAGTAAGAGAAATTTACACATGGACATGATGAATATTCATATATCTGAATTCCCAGAGCCTATCTGAGGCTGGTTAACATATTAGTCTCCTTAGACCTAAATTGCAGTCACTGGAGGAAGGAAGGCTGTTGCTCTGTGCAATTCAGAGAAACAAAATTAATATACTATCCTGAATATCTGGAGAATCGATGAGCAAGTCTCAGTGGTGCAGGAGGTTTAGGGAAATCAGCCTAACTTAGACAACCACATTGATGATGTGAATACACTCCCATTATTTTCTTTTAGTCACCACATTTTGCATAAGCAAATGCTTTTGTCAACATACCTGTGACCTCAAAGATCAGTTTGAGAGATACTGCTACTGGCCACCGTCATTCCAAAATGTGGCACAACAGTGCTTATGGGTATGCGGAATTTGCTTGATTATAGTATCTTTTCCTATTGCAAAATAAAAAAGAAGCAATACTAAAATATTCTGTGGAAAATTCTCTGCTTAGACCAATCTCACTAATTACATCATTTCAAATCCAGGCAAGAACAGCCAGCAGCTCATATTCAGGTATCTGCACTTAAGCAGTTGGCTGATTCTGGTATATTTCAGGTAAGAAGAGTTACTCTCTTTGGACCAATGGATAGTTAATTACTTAGAGGAAAAACAAAAAACAAAAAAAGAACAGACTGAAAGCAACCCTTTGAAGTACAGTTAATTGCACGGTAGGAAGGATATTAATTTAAAATGTGGACTAATCCTGCAAATCAATTCTTGACTCTGAGCTGGCAGAAACTTTAATTAAACAAGCATCCAGTTTTCTAGGTACAGGTAAAGGTATAATTCATGCATATAGTAAGTACGATAGATGGCCTACACTGCTCAAACATCTCTGAAAGTAGTATATAGGAAATGAGGTATCACCTGATAGTGCCTTGTTAAAGGCAGAAAAGTATTCCAAAATATGGTAACTCTTAAGATTCCTTGCACAAGCTGAAAGAAAATCAGATTACTTGCTTTTAATACAATCTAGTTAACTTCCAAGAGCCGTGGCACAGAGAAAAATATTTCACCTCTTCCAAAATTTCTGGTTTTTTGTATAAAAAAAGCTATGAAACTGTACAGATGGTATAGCTTCACCTCGAACTTGAAGGGATTACAAGATCAAGGGGAAAGGTTTTATCGACAGAGACTTCTGTAGGCTCTCACATGCTCACATTGTTTCTCACAAACAGACGATTGCTCAGTGATCAGTGATGACATTTTTTTGTACCTTTTTATCATTCACTTTCAAATCATAGGAGAACCTGATGGGATCTTTTCCTTAATCACAGCCAAATTTGAGCCACCATTTCCTCACTGTATTTCATCTGCAATTATAAGTTACCCCTACCTTAATTTCTCCCATCATGTCAGGAGTTTGGACGAGATTATGACTTAGACTTGTTTACTGACCATATTCTATTTCAGACTACAAATCACCACTGAAAATGCAAAATCCTTGTCTCCCCAGTGCATATACCAGAGCACAGATCATTTACAGGTTCACTGTGCTGATACACAAAAAGTCTTCAATGTTTTTCAAAAACTCAATTACATGAACATTGATTGTCCTTTGACCTGCAGAACTGTAAATCAAAAATAACTCTATTTTAGTCAATTATACTACCCAGCTATAAAACTGGCCTAAGAAAACATAGAGTTAAAAACACCACGTGCTCTCCCACATATGCGTGTGTTTGTATATGTGTGTAAATATCATGCTTTACGTAGGTTTTAAAGTGAAAGACTTTCATTGTAAGTGACACCAAAGCGTTATCAAGGTACTGCTGGCATGTTTAGCCCAACAGAAAGAATTATCTGCTGTTTATGGCTTTACTATAACAAGGTAACATGAGACAGGTTAGTTTTACCCTACTGATGTGCTGTTGCAATACTAATCCTGCTCAGTATGAGAGAAACAGCATGTTCAGACCCCTGGTGCGTGCACTTGGCTGAGGAGCCACTGGCGCGGGGCTACCATCTGCGGGCTTATGACTGAACGCCTCTAAGAATCCCACCTAGACGCTTGATGTTGTGCTGTTGCATCGTTGGTCGCCCGAGACTGACCCAGGAGATGACAGTCTTGTTCAGAATGTGTGGGTTAAAGCCCTTCCTGATTCTTTGTTTGCGAAGACAGGCCTTCCTTATAGAAGAAGGAATACTCCTATCTTCAAACCCGGGCTGATGGAGCTCATCTGGCCTTGCATGGTCTTCCATCATAGAGAAGGACACTCTTACAAAACCTATGACCTGTAGACTTTGCTGTCACCATCCAGCTAACTACGCTGTGGCAGTTAAACCTCAGGTGTAAAGGGTGGGGCCAGTTCTGCGCAAGCTGCGCCTCACCTAAAAAATCCACTGGGCGGGCTGGAAGGGCTCACTCTCACCTGTCTGTATGGACAGGCGAGGGTCTAAACGGTAGGTGACAAGGTGCATGAGAAGCTGCAGATCCAACCTTGCATGCGGGCGGACCAGCACATGGGTAGCTCGAGATTGCGCAGGAGATGAAGGTCCTGGTCGGACACTTCCTGATTGCCGAAGCACCTTTTTTTTCCCAACCAGGTTTACATATCCCACTTGCCCTTGGTCATCGTGCTTGCAGTAAGCATGGTTAAAGCCCTTTCCAAATCTTCGCTCGCGAAGCCAAGCCATCAATCAATAACAAGGTAAATAGTTAAAATTATTACCTCTCTATAATTGATCATGTTACATTAGACTTCCCCAGGGTGCATTATTATTGGGTTAAAAACCATATATAAGCTTCTTGAGAAGTTCCAGATATTAAAAATCCTGCTTGAACAACCAGACAGGCAGAATGGGAGGCAGTATGCTCTTCAAAATGTTGCACAATCAGCTTTTCTGTTTGTGTCCATACATTTTCAGATACAAATAAGTGTGAATCTAACTCCAGTCACTGGCATAAGTCAGTTCAGAAAGTATCTGGCATTTAGGCAGACAGAGAGGGGTTTTTTATGCTGATTTCTTATTTATGTTTATAAGATGGTGCTATAGCAACTGAAGATGTGGTAACTTCCAAAGAAATGAAGAAGCAGAATATTCACGTTTAAAAAACATTAGCAAGCAAACAAAAGTCCTAATTAGACTGATTTCTAAGAACTGCTTTCATAATAATTACGAATCTTTTGTTCATCATATTAACCACTGAAACTGGAATTAAATCTATATGTCAACTCATTTTGGCCTATGTTTGCAGAGTAATTAGTGAACTGTGGTGATCTGAAGGGGTTTGCTCAAAAACTGCACGTTATCCTGCAGTTTCAGTTGAAAAATTTTGATGATCTTCCAAGGCTGACAAGCAAAACAGGATCGCAGACTCATGGCCATTTCTGAGGGAAGACTAAAAGAGCAAATTTGGTTTTCTTTCAGAAAAAAAAGAAAAAAACAAAAAAACTTTGTTAGGGAGTAGATAGAATTATTTACCTTGTTAACTTTCTAGAAGACTACTAAGAAAAAACAAGAAAAACATCTTTGTAAAGCTTGCAAATATGAAAGGGAAATGCAAAGTGCTCCTACAGAGGAGCTAACAGCCATGCAGAAGTAGTGTATTACTAATCGCTAGGAGGGCTTTGATATTAAATCAACCATCTCTTCAAACACAGCTATGATGGAGAGGAGAAAATCTTAAATTCCTAAATGAGAAGTCATAGAATAGCATAAAAAATCACAGCATGCTTATTTGCAACTCCAAAACTTTTCACACCTCCTAAAAGCAGAACACTACAGCATCCAGACTGAAAGTGGAAGCAAAGCAAACATAAAATGCAAAGAGGTCGATAGGATAATTGCTTCATTTGAACTGTTTGGTGAACAGATCAGCAAGTCAGTGAATCAATGATTTATTTTTTTTTTAATTATAAATTAAGTCAAAGCTGAAAAACAAAATGAAAGTGATGTGGGAATGAAGAACTATGTCAGAGCTGACATTTTCAGGAAGGCAAAAAGAAAGACCAAAACTGGCTGCACTTTAAAAAAAAAATGACAATTTGTATTTTATTAAGAGCATTAATGATCCATTTTTTATTCTATCACCAGCTCAGCAGGGTCTGTGAATCTTTATTTTTCATACTGAAACGATAACAACTAAAGACATTCACAGCTTTTACTGTGGTTTTTATCTAGCATTGTATGGGAACAAGTATAATCTTTGCAGGTGAAAAGGACAATAGGTAAGGAAATTTATTGAATCGACCTGGATTTTAGGCAACTGGAGGCAAGGTCAGTGTTTCCTTTCACCTGGCTGTTAAAGAAACATATATACTGAATTGCTGATACTGTACATGATGGTGTTTCTGCTAGAGTCATGTAGATAAAGTATGCAAATGCTGTGAGTACTGAGCATCCTAGAAACAGATATCTGGTTCAACCTCTAATTTAACATGTCTTAGTATCCTTATTACTAAAAAAAGGTACAAACTGAACTCAAAGTTGTGTCAAATAAACATGAAGAAAACTGATATAAAGTGTTGTTTTAAGACTATATAACTATTAGAATCACAGCCTGTTTACTTTTAGCTAAAAGAAAATGAAAGACCCAGTTTGACAATTCACAATATTCTCTTATCCTAAAAAAAATAGATTGGTTTTCACTTTACTCTTAGAAGGTTTGCTATAATTACTCAGAGGCACTGAGTAATTATAGCTGGGTTTTTTGAGCTTATACATATGGAGAAATTAAAATTAAATGATAAGACTCATAAAAATTGGAAAAAAAAGGCAAACCAAAACTGTAGCTGATGTTTCTGTGGTGTTAAATACCTCTGAAAGCATGATGAAGAAGAAGGTATACTTTTTGCCTGGTCAGCAGAATCACAAAGAATTGTGAAACCAACCAAATAAAACTCCACTGCAATCATGAAAGTTTGCCTATGGAAAGATCACTTCTGGGGCTCGAGCCATGACATTTCTGTGTCTTTTTGAAAAAAAAAAAAAGCTTTAAAGAAAATTAGTCTAAACTTGAAGTCCTTCCCAAGAAAGGAATTTAGTGTAAGCCTGACAACTTATAATTCTGTTTTCATTCCTTATGTTTACCAGCTGACTGCACAAAGATCAAAATTAGGATCAATAAAACCTACAATAAAGAGTTCAAAAAGAAGCACTCTGCTATCAAGAAGCATGAAGTATGAAGAAATGAATGACAACACTCCCCACCCTAGCTGGACAGGGAGACCACACAAGCCTATGCCAGCATGTAAAAGTAAAATCTGACCAACGATAAAGGATAGCAGTAAGGCCTGCTCATAAAATACATGATACATGTGGAAATAATATTGGCTTGATGAAGAAGAAAAGAAAGTTCTGTCAGCAGCCTCTACTTACAGGATAGCATGAGCAGTGTTAACAAACATTCCACCTGCAACTCCAGAAGCTTTTCAGGTGACTGGGTGAAAATAGAAAGCCAAACAAGTGTTTAATTAAGGTGGCATGTTTAAATTAATTCGCCTCTCTCCTCTGTATTTCTGAATTACAATAGAGTAAATTGCATAATTACATACATTTTATTCATTCAATAAATAACAAGTCTCTACTTTGAAGAGAATGATCTTGATTTCATTTCCTTCAGGAGCTGGAAGGGTTGTGGCAAATCAAAAGAGATACTTCAGGGGAAGAAAAAATAATCATATGACTTAAGAATTTTTACTTTCCTACACTTTCATGGAATATTAGATTTTGTTTCTGTCTCTGACAAAAAGTTCCTGAAGGAATCAGGACAAAATGCTTCAACTGAATCTTTTAGAAATACTAACTAATCAGTCCCCATTATTTGGGTATAGAAATTGGAGACCTGAGGATATAAACTGCAAAACCACCAAGCACTCACTCATGAAGACTCTGTGAGTGGGATCTGATTTTATAAAATTGAATGCCAATGCTTTGATTTCAAACAGTATTCTGTCCAAACAAGTACCGGGCAAGGTTCTGACCTTTTCTGAACTACAAATATCATGCCACTCACCCTGGACTAGGAGGGGAAATAACTGATGCTTCTTGTGCTTTAAATACTGTTAAATCAATGAGAAAGCCTATCTTCAAAGCAGAGTTTAAATATCATTCAGTACTTTGGACTGGGCTTGCATATTGAGAAAAAAAGATAAAATAAAATATTGAAGTTGGGTGTTTGCTGCTTATTCTTGAGGGGCAGAAATCCAACATGTTATCATGCTCAGGCCTTCTGTTTCAACAGGTTTTGTAAGTAGAAAGTGGCTGATAGACTTAAAGAATTAACAGCAATTCCATTCGGTATATCTCTTGATACACTCAGGATGAGTTAGCAATCCCTTCTTAGCTTCAAGGATTCCAATTTGCTTTTTACCCACTCTACTATCTCTAATTTTGCTTCCAGCCAGTCTTACTATAATATAAATTTATTCTTGTGTACTCAAACCATATAGACTGAGACATTTGCTGTCTCTTGAATTTTATTTTTTTTCACTTCTTCATTTTTTTTTTAATATAGTTCACAGTTATGCTTGGAGGTCAAGTGTAAGGATCCATTAAACATGTAACAAACAAGCCATAAAGCAGCAATCTGTTCATTGGACCAGGCTTACAGTAATTCCGAATATGCTAAAATTCAGAACACTAAAAATGTGAAATTGTCTGTGACAGAACAATTCAAATACTGACAGTCTCATTTATCCCACATAGAAAACTTAAAACTATATATGTATGTATATGAATTCATAATATGTTTTCTACTTCAGAGGAAGTTTCCAGAGTTGTTTCTCAGGCGTAAAATTGCCATTCCAGAATATTTTAAATAATTGTGGAGAAGCTAATAGAGCCCAATGTTTGTGAGCTTCACAAACATGCATACACACACACAAATCAAATAGTGATTATTACATTTTATTTATATTTATATTATAAATCAACTATAAGCTAAAATCATTCTAATACTCCTGAAAAATTTATGTAATGCAAGATATCACCATCTTTACTATCTAAACAAAAATCTGGATTATTGCAAATGGTTGAAATAAGATAGCATGGATCTTGCTGATTTTTAATCAGAAATCTTAGTGAGTTTTGACAAGAATCTTGATCCATATAATTTAATTTTAATAGAAAACTTTTACTGGCTAATAGAGGAATTTTGGTTCAAATTTAAATGTCTTCAAAATAAGGCAGTTACTAGAAACTGCACAGAATATTAACATATTGCACATTGTTCCTGATATGACAAGTTTGCTCCAGTTTGTTACCAGCAGAGAATCCAACCAAAATATACTGAAAAATTTACTGAATTTGCCCTGGAAGCCATCCACATACACCCATGTCTTATGCTGTTGATACATATATGCTATGTTTTTTACAGGAAAAATACAGAGAGAAAAAAAAAATCAAATAAATGAAAACTTTTTCTTAAGGTTGCTTTATTTATTTTAATTTTTTTAACAACAACCAAAACAAACCCTATCACATCTTATACTATATTCTTCTCTCATTTCATTCTCTCCTTTTTTATTCAAGATCAGGTGTCAAGGAATAAATATACCTGATTACATTCAAGTAGGACGTAAAAACATAAAAAAACACTCATCATTCCTGAGCTGTAACACACAGGAAGCACTCCCTGAGTATTTCCATAAAGGTCCCTGTAGAGCAATCTGTACTCTGGATCTACTATTAATCTGCTTTGACCTGAGAGCTAACGTACTTGGCTCACCTGTGAGTTGCCCCTTTTTCACTCACAAATGTCAGTGATGCCAATTTACTGGAAAATTAAGTCTCCACCTTGCCTGAAACAAATCTAAACCTACCCTGGAAAAAGCATTACTGCCAAGGGAACCTGTAGATGGGCAATAAAGGCATGGTTTACTGCAGTCTAGGATTCAAACACTTCAATTTTGAACTCCTCTACTTACCAGTAAACAAGCCTGAAAGCAGGGATTCCTTGAATTAAATCAGGAAGAGCCTCTTACAGAAAATAACTAATTGCTACACCAGGGGTTTATTTTAGGCAATAGGTAATAGGCTACTCCAGGTCCAGATGGATGTGTCCAGGATAATGCCATCAAGGCAGTGTCCCTTAGGAGGTATTGATACCTCCTGGGGGAAAAGGAAGGAAATATTAAACTAGGAAGTATGTAAAGCAAAGGGAAAAGGACAAATTCAATTAACCCCTGCCAGAGAAGGTGTATTTTCCCTGTTGCTTCATTATCAGTTACACCATTTTCAGTATATATTGGCAGGACTTCCTCATAGGAGATTTTGTAAAGCAGTGGCCATCTCTCACTTCTCATTACCTTCTCACCCACAAAGCAGAAAGCCAACAGAGGAGTTGATAATGATGGGAAGATTAAAAGCAAGCAAGATGATAGAAAGTCATCTACTGTAATCTTGACTTGTAAAACAGTTAAATGCTTTTCTTCACTTGATGTTTGTTGCTTGGCATACATTTCATATTGCTCTGCCATGCAGCATAAAAGCATAAACAGATTTCACTGCATCTGGGGTGTGGTCAAATGAAAGCAAAGTGAAACTGTAGATGTGGAAATGAAAATCACCTGCTGAAATAAAGCAATAGAATATTACACAGAAATCATCAGTTGGAGGTATAGTGGTTGCTATGGGATAATCACAAAGTCTTACACAGCAACAGGCACCCTCACTGAGTCTGTGTCAATACAGTAAAATATAAACATGCTCAGAAATATTTTCTGAGCAGATCAAATTCTCTAATCAGTGTATCAACCTATGAGTCATGGCCCAAAGATTAAATTCTTCTTGCATTTTTTCAAGTTTTAGCATGGTGTTTCCTACAATGCAGTAACAGAAATAGTAGGAAATATTAAGGTCCAGAAATTATGCTTATTCAGAGAATCAACTGGCAGGCTTGGGTACTCTCTTATACAGTTCACTGTCATTTTGATTGTATGTAGTGTTACAGGATGTGGCTATAATATTTAAACAAAATAAATAAAAAAACACAACAAAATTCAGTTATCCAAGTTGGCACTGACTGCAGAAACAGTAATGTAACTTACTTGCAGAACTGTGACTGGGGCTGAATGCCCCTGCTCTGGAATTACAGCATCATTTCAGTGCATGGCACTGGCAGCAGATCAGGCACCCTTCCACAGACCATTTTATTGGTTTAGATGTCTTGAAGCAGAAATCCCAGCTAGCTTCAAGGATCTCTGTACTATGCTACTAGGATGCCCATGGTTTCCTTAGGATCTGCTGCTGTGCCTGTACTTGTTCTCGTATTTTCTCAAGAGCTTCAGGAAGGCTCAAGACATTTTCAAAGTTTCTTGGAGGCAGGGAATTTTTCCATGTATAAACAGGTATCTAAATGTAAGTTAACTTTCCCAAAATCAGGAAGTGGGATTATTAGGCACTACTCTATTTCAACTTCATCTAGCCTGCATGAAGACAACATTATCACACAGTGAACTGTAGGCCATGGTGGTAGGTTATATCACTTCTGCGTATTCTGTGCTAGTGATGTGAATACTATCAGAGAGCTACATACAGGTATGACCACATTTCAGGAAGAATATCAATAAATTTGAGAAAAACAAACAAACAAACAAAAAAAAGAAACCCAGAAAAAAAACCTCAAGAATAATTAAAGATTCATAAACCTTGAGTTACAGAGAGCTAAGAAGTTCATTCAATTTAATTCATTAAAGAGAAGCATACAACCTGGACATAAAAGACAAAGAAACCTCTTAACCTCTTCTATTTCTCAAATTAAGATATAATGTTATCTGTACAAGTTCTGGATTAAATTTTAATATAAATTGAGTTGCTTATTTTTTTAAAAGACAGTGCAATCAGCTATTGAGATAGATTACTAAGCATCGTTCATCAATGAAAATAAAAAGCACACGACTTGAGGGTAGTTGTCTAGAAGAAGCAACTGCTCACCACTGTTGATCTTCAGTCACAGAAGTTCCATAGCTTCTATGGCAAAGGAACTCAGAGCAAGATGAACATAGTGATTCTAATATCTTACCTCAAATTTGATTAACCTAAATAGTAGTAAATAAATATTTTAAACTTTGCTAAGGTCCCCAGAATGATATATAAATATAACCAATAGTACAAAACAACCCCACAGTTTTCTGTTACTTTTCCAAAATGTCAGCTCTATGTACACAAGGTAGCAGAATTTCACTATCAGAGTACTAGATTTTTGTGTAAAACAGAGATAATAAAGCTATGAAGCAACTTAAAACATTTCACAATTTCCACCAGTATCTTAGAAATTTCAGTATAGAAAACCAAGCAAACATAGCAGCAACTTTGCATTCTCTTTTTCTATCCATGGGAAAGTAACCAAACTAAGTCCATTAATCTTTCTCACGAAGTAACCCGTGAATTTCTCTCTGTGAGAAATGGTCAAATGTATTTACTTGTGGGGTCACTCTGGCTTCGAGCACTTGTCTAATACGTTTTCTCATATGCATAGAAGAAAACCTGTATAAAAGTGATTCCAATGTGGCTAGACAGATACATTTTTATTATCACTATTATTTCTTCAAGAGTTGACATCTCAAAAAAAGCTCATTTTGGAGCCTTCTCAAAGTATTTCACAAGTAATGACATTTAAATGGCCTCTGACATTTTTGAAGATAGCTTTTTTGTGAAAAGTAGCAAAACTCCTCCTTTTGGTATGCAGCTGCAATCAAGGATTTTTACTCACCATAAAATATGTCAAAATAATGGATGGCATTCCCAGTAAAGAAAATGAATTTAAACAAGTCAAGTAGAAACACATACCTTTCTGCAGAGAAAAGATTCATTGTAGAGATTCAGCTTATTTATTGCCCTTGTGGAAAATAATTCTACACAATTTTTTGAGAATGGTTTATTTTTCCAGCATTTGCCTTTGAAATGAAACAAAATTCCAATACTTCAACTGGTAATGTTGCTTCTCTCGACCTGTGTGCAAAAAAAAAGAACAAACAAAACACCTCCTTTTGACTTCCAGCTGGCCTATTAGTTAGTTAATTAGTGAAGCTTATTACAAAATCAATAACAACATGCCATTGCTGTTACATTTCCCATTTACAAATGTGAGTATACAGGCCTTCCAACTACTTCATTATTGAATTTATTTGTTGGAAAGATTCTTCAGTAAGTAATGCATTAGGTTGGCATGAAGTCTCTCAGTTCTGCATGTACAGAACAGAAATAAAAGTGGGAACAAGGAAAGACTGCTTACGACCTTTATAATTCTATAAATTCTGTTTATCGGACTACTGTATGAAACATCAATAAATGCAGTGTTAAAAACCCACACACATTTCTATATTTTTTAATATGTCTCCCTCTAACAATAAAAATAAAAGGAGCAATAAAATTCACTCACCCCAACTCAAGTAACCCCTGGCGGTATCAGTTTTGTGTGTTACCAAGCTCAATAACATCAGATACACAACTACCTCAGGTATTGTAAAACACAGAGTGCGACATCTCTGGTTAGATAAAGACATCGTTAATACTCAACAGCAACAGATGAATTCTAGCCAAACTGATATTCTCCAAGCCATTGCAGAAATCTTTTTCAAATAAATATCTAATGCCACTACATCAACAAAAGCAACTTTGACTCTTAGATTAGACATGCTTTGAAAAGATAGTAAGGCAGGATTTTGCCTTTGTTTTTTTTAAGGTCTCACAAATAATTCAATGTTCCAGACAGAACAGTGATGGTCACTCAAAATATTTTAATTGTTATGTTATTAGTAAGCAATTTGGAAGATCTTCAAACCATTTAGGTTAGAATGAATATCTGGAGGTCAAGTGGTCAACCCCTCACCCAAAGCAGAACTGATAGGGTGAGATTGCTTATGGCCTTGTCCATGAGTGACACAAGGATGGAAGAACCAGAATCTTCCTAGGCCCTTGTGCCATGTTGACCGCCCTTGTGCCATGTTGACCCTCCTTGTAGTAAGAAAAGCTTTTCTCTAGATAACATTTCCAGCAGTTAACTTCCAATGGCAGCAACAAGCCACCAGAAGAGGTTCCTAGAAAATGCAGCTCCCAGGAGATGTTTCCTGAGGGAGGAGCTTTCAAACTGTTTTGACAGCTGCTTCCTCTACCTTTGCTGCCTCTGCTGTTATCCTATGTTTCGTGAGAAAAAAAAATAACTAGCAAGGGGCACAGTGAGGTTTTCAAATGCAGGATGCTATTGACTAAACCTTCCTCTAATGCAGTTGCCTAAAGTTTTTTTGTTATTATGCTTAGCTGAAGAGCGTCTTGTCTCAAAAGCAGGTCTCTGTCCCTGTTATTGTTATAGCTACTTTTGTTTCTCTCTAAACTCAACCTTTTCATTGTTTCTGATACATTCGTGGCAACTCACTACTTCTTGCTGATTACATCTTCTGATTTTTAATAGCTTATATATCTTCAACAGTTAAGTTCATATATTGTGATTTATGGCCAATACAGTTATCTACCAAGTGACTTATGGTTGTTTTCCTTGATAGCTTGAAGTCTGTGTGAGCAGTTAAATGCTTGAATCTCTTCATCAGGGATTGTAGTGATAGGACAAGGGGTAACAGGTTCAGGTTAGACATAAGGAAGAAGTTCTTCACTGTTAGGGTGGTGAAGCACTGGCACAGGTTGCCCAAAGAAGTGGTGAATGCTCCATCTCTGATAGTGTTCAAGGCCAGGTTGGACAGAGTCTTGGGTGAAATGGTCTAGTATGAGGAAGTCCTGCCCATGGCACAGGGGTTGGAACA